CCTCTTCCGCGATAATTAAGACTCCAAGAGCGAGTGCTCTGATACCATTGATAGACAAGGTCAATACCACGAGAAGTTCACAGTGAAAAGGGTAAGAGAGATGATCGGAAAACTTTATTAGCTAACCGAACAGTTCACGAAGGATACAATGCTCAGGGGCGAATTCGAGAGGCCCAATCTCCAAAGTTCTCACATCCAACAAAATAACAGTCTGCCTCAATTAGCTATTCCCCACTTCTATTTATAGCTATTATCCAAAGGGATATGCCAAATATTACTAATACCCCCCTCCCTTCTATTAATACTACTACAAGTACCTTTACCTTTACTATTATTATTATTATTATTATTTCTTATTTTGCCAAACATGTGGCGCATCTCCTTCACCTAATCCCTTTCAACCTTTTCCGCCAGCTTCTCCACTTTTCCGCGCTCAACCATTTCCGCTACCTTCTCCCCTTTTCTATGCGAAGCATCCTGATTGGATCTTCCATGCTCCCTGCGCAGTTCCTTTCTGCCTTGGGTAGACTCATGCTTCTCAATGTTCGAGCGCAAATCAGAGGCAGCCACTTTCTGTTCTGACCTTCGATGTTCCCTTCGCTACTCCATTTTTTATTGCGTGACTTAGATCGAAGCTTCCCAGGGACAACTGCTCTGATACCAATGTTAGATACCTCAACAAAAGAAGCAGAAATTTACGATTTATTGAAGATGAAAGTCTGGTCGATTACAACTGAATAGGAAAGAACAGAAAGAAAGAGAAGAAATCAGAAAGAGACACTTCGAGCAGTCCCCTCTCCCAAGTCCCAAGCCTAATTCCAATTTCTGCCTAACTTCCTTCTTCCTTCCTTCTCACTCTTATAGTAATTATATCCTAACGGGCCAGCCCATATTCTTTGACATGGCCCAAAATCCTTATTTACACAATACCACACTTATTTAATATCAATCTATTACTACTATTATTATTCTCTACAGCCCAGGGCCCTATCAGTTTTAAAACTACTGTTCTTTCCAAAAATAAATCCCTACTACTGATACTATTTCCGTGTAGATTCATATTCCCCTGCAACAAAGGATTGAGTCACCACAAAGGATTTTTTTCTTGTCCCTCATCACCGTAGATGAACTTACCTTCAAAGAGCGTTTTCTGTGGATTGCCTGACTCTTGCGACATGGATAGCAACGGTGAACTGATGGTGTCTCCTCTGTCTAGAGTCGTACTAGGGTTCGTAGAGGAATATCTCAGCGATTTGGAGTCTCCTGATATCGTCACAATTTGACGTGAGCTGATAGTGGATGAATCTGCGAACGAGGAAACCTGAGAGAGGACAGAATCTGCTAGCGTTAGGGATGAAAAGACCTGTGAACAAGGAGAAGCCGTTTGCGACTTTGAACTGGGAGAAACTGTTCGAGATGGCGAAGTTGTCGATTGCGATCTGGAAGCTTCTTCCTGCGACACCGTCTGCGCACTTAGTGACGAATTCTGACGGTGTCTAGGAGGACTCCTATCTCTATCTCTATGTCGCTCGAGTCTGTGACGAATTTTGCCAAACATGTGGCGCATCTCCTTCGCCCAATCCCTTTCAACCTTTTCCGCCAGCTTCTCCACTTTTCCGCGCTCAACCATTTCCGCTACCTTCTCCCCTTTTCTGTGCGAAGCATCCTGATTGGATCTTCCATGCTTCCTGTGCAGTTCCTTTCCGCCTTGGGTAGACTCATGCTTCTCAATGTTCGCGCGCAACCCAGAGGCAGCCACTTTCTGTTCTGACCTTCGATGTTCCCTTCGCTGCTCCATTTTTTTATTGCGTGACTTAGATCAAAGCTTCCCAGGGACAACTGCTCTGATACCAATGTTAGATACCTCAACAAAAGAAGCAGAAATTTACGATTTATTGAAAATGAAAGTCTGGTCGATTACAACTGAATAGGAAAGAACAGAAAGAAAGAGAAGAAATCAGAAAGAGACATTTCGAGCAGTCCCCTCTCCCAAGTCCCAAGCCTAATTCCAATTTCTGCCTAACTTCCTTCTTCCTTCCTTCCCACTCTTATAGTAATTATATCCTAACGGACCAGCCCATATTCTATGACATGGCCCAAAATCCTTATTTACACAATACCACACTTATTTAATATCAATCTATTACTACTATTATTATTCTCTACAGCCCAGGGCCCTATCATATCTCCCCCCTCGACAACCACCTTGTCCTCAAGGTGGGTGATAGGAGAAAGCCTTGATCTTCCACTTCATCTTCATCATGGTGCCTCTACTTTCCCCAGTATCTCACTGATTTCTGAGCGGAGAGCTTCAGCACTTGATCTTTCCAATTGACATATGTTTCTGCAGCATGGGATCTATCTGGTGAAGTTTCATTCTCTTCATTAACCTTTAATCCTTCAATAGCCACAAACTTTTCCTTGCTTTCTTGAGGCTCCTCCGAGGTTCTCTCTTCTGAAACTATCAGTGTGCTGGATGCAAGTTTGATGTAGCTCAAATCAAGGTCTGCAAACAGCCTCATGCAAACTTCTCCAATTTTCATCCACTTTTCTGTACGGCAGATGGTATCAATGACAGAATTACTTGTAATAGCAGGATTTGTTTCATAAAACTTCACTAGCTGACAGCACTTGCGCACAACAGTGCTATCATGCGATTGCAGATTCTCTAACCGCCAAAGTCCCAAATCTGAGAATTTTTCTTCTTTCCTTTCCCCTATAGGCTGAAACCCCAGTGATGGCGTTAACTGATTAGCAAAGCCAAGTCCAGAACCCTTTCTTCCTCTCCCATCCGGTCCAGAATCAATTAAAGTACGGACCTCATCAATTAGAAGGCTATGCTCAACCACTAGAAGCTTTCTGAATGGTATAGTTGCTTTAGTCTCTTGAGAAACAATGTTGTGAGTAAATCCATTCTCAGCCATAGCCGAATTTGTGTTCATGCCCTGAACACCAGCATTCTCCTCAACCTCAACCTGAATCTGCTCATCAAGGAACACTGAGCTAAATAAAATTTCAACCCTTTTTCCCACTTCCTCCTTTGAGCTATGATTGACATTAACTCCACACAGCCTCATACTTTGCATTCCAGAAACCTTGGTGTTTGGCTGTTGCCCCATCTCAACCTTGTGGAAAGGTTTTTGATCACATCCTTTACTTCCTCTTCCATCATTCTCTTCTATTTCCTCAGTTTCCTTTATACTGATAGTCCCTGGAGAACTTTCCCAAATATTCGAAACAACATTTTTATTAACGGCAGATTCATATTCCCCTGCAACAAAGGATTGAGTCACCACAAAGGATTTTTTTTCTTGTCCCTCATCACCGTAGATGAACTTACCTTCAAAGAGCGTTTTCTGTGGATTGCCAACCTCTTGCGACACGGATAGCAACGGTGAACTGATGGTGTCTCCTCTGTTTAGAGTCGTACTAGGGTTCGTAGAGGAATATCTCAGCGATTTGGAGTCTCCTGATATCGTCACAATTTGACGCGAGCTGATAGTGGATGAATCTGCGAACGAGGAAACCTGAGAGCGAACAGAATCTGCTAGCGTTAGGGATGAAAAGACCTGCGAACAAGGAGAAGCCGTTTGCGACTTCGAACTGGGAGAAACTGTTCGAGATGCCGAAGTTGTCGATTGCGATCTGGAAGCTTCTTCATGCGACACCGTCTGCGCACTTAGTGACGAATTCTGACGGTGTCTAGGAGGACTCCTATCTCTGTCTCTGTGTCGCTTGAGTCTGTGACGAATTTTGCCAAACATGTGGCGCATCTCCTTCGCCCAATCCCTTTCAACCTTTTCCGCCAGCTTCTCAACTTTTCCGCGCTCAACCATTTCCGCTACCTTCTCCCCTTTTTTGTGCGAAGCATCCTGATTGGGTCTTCCATGCTCCCTGCGCAGTTCCTTTCCGCCTTGGGTAGACTCATGCTTCTCAATGTTCGCGCGCAACCCAGAGGCAGCCACTTTCTGTTCTGACCTTCGATGTTCCCTTCGCTGCTCCATTTTTTTATTGCGTGACTTAGATCAAAGCTTCCCAGGGACAACTGCTCTGATACCAATGCTAGATACCTCAACAAAAGAAGCAGAAATTTACGATTTATTGAAGATGAAAGTCTGGTCAATTACAACTGAATAGGAAAGAACAGAAAGAAAGAGAAGAAATCAGAAAGAGACATTTCGAGTAGTCCCCTCTCCCAAATCCCAAGCCTAATTCCAATTTCTGCCTAACTTCCTTCTTCCTTCCTTCTCACTCTTATAGTAATTATATCCTAACGGGTGAGCCCATATTCTATGACATGGCCCAAAATCCTTATTTACACAATAACACACTTATTTAATATCAATCTATTACTACTATTATTATTCTCTACAGCCCAGGGCCCTATCAGTTTTAAAACTACTGTTCTTTCCAAAAAAATCCCTACTACTGATACTATTTCCGTGTATCATTAAAGTATATACGGAGGAGTTTTTTTATATATTTAAAGCTAAATCACAACAAACAAAAACAAAATCTAAATACGTTTTAGACTCTATAGTAGGGATTTTAATTTTATTTGCATAGACATTTTCAGAAAATACGTGAAATATTATTCACATAGCTGATGAGCAAGTAATGAGGTGGGTATAAGGTGGATTTATGTCTCTGCAACGTGTTTACTTAGTTGAGGGCTTAACGGGAGATTTGGTCAAAATAAGAGATTTTTATTTGATGATCCTAGTTCATATTCACTTGATCAACATAAAACATTCTTAACCATTTACTTTTTATATCAAATTTTTATCAATTTGATTCAGGTTTTTGCGACTTTGTAAAACTTTTAATTTAGTTTCTGAATATGTAAATTTTATTTGCTACAAATAATTTGAGTGAGGACAGGGATTCATTTCTTTTATCATCGATAAAGCCTCGTAAACCGCAACAGAACCATCAAATTGGAACGGAGAGAGTACTTTTAAAAATAAAAATGTTGATTAAATTACCAATATTTTACGTACTATGAAGTAAAAACTTTGTACGGAATCAATTGAAATTTATTGTGGTAGGTAGAAGTGCCCAAAACAAAATACTCCGTAGAAGCCAATAATCTAAAAGGGAAAAAAGATCCCATTGGCCAAAGTGACTTGATTCCCAGTTTAGCTAATGAACAGGAAATTCATGTAGCATGATTTACCCTACAACTCAAACACAACGCGGTGCAATTGAGGAGGCATATCATCCAGATTCAAAGTCACCAATCCGGAATCTGAATCAAACCCAAAACCACTCACAATTCCTCCAAGCATGCAGCTTCTTGGCTTGACAGATGAGTAAGCCCCAAACCGACCACAACCCTTCACCCCCACTGAAACTACACCCACCTCTGTACCGGTCTTCACCTCGTACTCCAGTTCCTCAATCGCTCCTCCAGCGTTGAACATGTCAATAAGTCCCAGAGGGGCGAACCTAAACCCTTGGGCAACCTCCTTGATTGGTGTGATGGTGAAAACTTCATGCTCCAGGACTTTCAAGGATACAGGCAAGGCCACATTGTTCGGGAGAACAATGAGTTCGCCTCGACTGTGACTGTAAACTGCACAGTCCCCGTTCCAGTTGGAGTCACCCGAAGCTGCTTCGGATATGAGATGAACATCTCGGCCCCTTACATGGCTTGTTATTGCCTCGGATGTCGTTTCGTGGAACATGTTTTTCTTCTCAATGGCATTCCACGCTGCACCTTGGCAGTTGTACACTCCCAGAACTCCAGTGTATTTGTTCATGTTCCAAATCTTCAATAAGCTAAAACATAAACGGATAATAACTTATTAAGACTTGAGTTCCATCGTAAAAACAAACGTGAATCTTATAGGTAGGTAGGTTAACATAATTTACATAACCCATGTTATTCTTTACATACCAACCTTTGGAATCCAACATTTATGGTGCTAAAACTTTGAAAGAAGGAATAACTCAAGACTTTATATATACTTAGGTGATCATGATGGATCGGATATGAATCTCGATTAGAAGTGGCCATGATTCAAATTTTTGACTACCACATCGCGAGAATTAAGTCTTTTAGTGTAATTTAGCCAATGAAGCCCGAGTTGATCAAATACTATTGAATTACCTGATGCCATCACGAGCAGGATCAGAGAAGAGACAATCCATTGTAGGGCGGCCAGGTAAACGAGCTCTGAGAATTGAACCATCAGGGAGGACAAGCTTCTCCAAGAGATCAAAGTCATGTTTCCCAGGTGCATCGCTGTTAGGTACATCACAGCATGATTAAAAACTAATTAAGTTCAAAGAGATGATCTACACATTACATACAATACAAACCTTGCCAGACAGAATTGAAGATCAACTAAATGTACTTATTTAATTACCTCACATAGACAGGACCGCCACTGATTGCCCTTGCTGAGCCATGATACTCAGCAGTTGGATGGAGAGAGTGGAACATGTCCCAATCAGGCAGCATGAACTCTCCCAGGAAAACGCTGTTGTATGCAACTGCTGCAATAAGGATGGTGGGTGAAACCGGATCGTGCGGAAAGAAGTCATCCGATGCCCTCGCAATTGCGCCCTCTTTCTCACTGTTTCATCACACCATACTTCACATCATCAAATCAAGCATATCCAAACTATTCTAGTCTTGTGGAATTTATACCGTAGTATATAAAGTGATAGTTCCTTTTAGGATGAAACCTCAAATTTTAATACATAGTGTCAACGGAATCCATAGTTATGCAAAAAAAAGGACATGTTGTATAACTAACAATTACTGAATCATCAACATGATACACATAAAAATACAATTCAACAACTGTGAAATCTAGACGAATTATCTGGTGGTGAGATACTTATTAAGTACTTATGTTGATAAATCATAAACAAGTTACATACCAGTAAAGAGCATCAGTGTTGTGGCACATGCAAGCAATGATACCATTATCAGGGAAATTCTTGGATACAGAAGAATCCAGAGCTTGATGATATTGCTTTGTGATCTCCACCCTGCCCCCAAATCCACTCCCAATGGTCTCCAATATGCACTGCACATCCACCTTCACCCCGTCAACCCCTGCCGATGCCAAGTAGCTATGCATGTCATCGTAAAACTTGTGGGCACTTTTCGGGTTCACCACGCCCAGCCCCTGAATCGCCATTACTTCCGTCTTCCAGGTCGGTTCATTATCCATAACCGCTTTTGAGACAATTGGGTATTTCAGCACTGACCCGTATTTCTCCATTCCCTTCTCTCCGGGTCGGACTCCGCCCCAGTACCCTAACATCGCGTGCCAAACGTAAACGTATTTTAAACCGTACTTTTGCTTGGCGATGTTGACGATGCTCTGGATTCCCGTGTTGTTAGGGTCGGGCTGTTGGAATTTGGCGTTTTCTTTTATTCCGGTCAGTCTCATCACCGAGTCCTCCTTTGATGGGCCTCCGGCGGTCGACTGCCAGCCGTCGTCAATGATGACGTATTTCGGCGGCGTCCTGCTAGAGCATAGGCTCTTCAGGCCGGCCTCCACCCCCTCCTGGGTGACCTCTTTGTAAAACGCGTCCCACGTGCACCACCCGAAGTAATCCACGATTCCCGGCAACTTCTTCTGATGCCGCTGCCGGAAGCTCTTCAGGTGCAGTTTCACCGCCGTTACTGCGTCGGAGATGGCGGTAAACGGGTCGGATCCTACATGGACATAAACAGAGTGCGTGAACTCCGACCCGACCACATCCGGATCCCCGCTTTCGAGGATCAATTCCAGCTCGTCGTCTAAATTCCCCTGAAGACAAGCCCGGAATTTCCCTTCAATCAACGGGAGGAATACGCAGTAAACATCTTCGTCGGCGGCCGGAGCAGGGCTTTTTTTCACTTCGGCGAGAAGGAATTGGGTTTCGGCGGGGACGTCACGGCCGTGGGTCCCCATCATTTGTGACATAAACCACATCTTCGACCGGAAAGTAGCAAGGAACCGGACGTCGTGGAGCTTCCCCAGCGGGACGACCTGGTGGCAGCTTTCAGAGTCGAAAACCACTCCCAAGAATAATCCGTCTGTCGAACCAGAATCCGACCCGGAGGCGACAGTGACGTTCTCCGGGATGTTCGTGAGGAAATCGCGGTCCTTAGCGACCAGCTTCCGGTCTGAAACTCGGACCGCCGGTGTGATCGTCATTGCTAAACTTAAACTTAACAATTAAAGCAACAGAAATGTGACGCAGAAGTACGAATATACAAGGCGGGTAAATATAATGGAAGAAGAATTAATGTGTTTGGATTGAAGATGAAGCATGACGTTGAAAGATTGAATTGGAGTTTACGAACCATAGGCTATATTGCCCCGTCAGCACCTACACAGCACACTACTTTCCTAGCTACAACAACTTGAACTCCACTGTACTATGGCGGAATTTTCCGATTTTTTTTATCAAAATGGGCCACAAAAAAAGGTGGTTATTTTCGTAGCACAAATGCTAAAGTACCCTATCTCATTTTTTCTTTTACCTCGTAACTTCTTAGGTGGCGTCATAAATGGGCCAATTCATTTAAGTGGAACACACTTAAGGTGTGTGGTAAAAATGGGTTACGTTTTCGGTATCTCTCGCCAACCTCTTTTCATAGTACCTTTTCTTTCTTTTACATAATTAGAAAATGGCGAAATTACATAGAAATTCTAAAAAACAATGATGTATAAGTCAAAATGACAGCAATTTCTAATTTCAGAAAATGACTTGATATGTTTCAAGGGTTTCAATGCCTTTGCGCAAATATTCCGCAATTCTTCTTCACTGGCTACCTTTTATTTTTCACTTCCACTCATACAGCTCGATTTCGGTTTCTTCAGCTTCAATCACAGTGCATTTTTTTGATTTCTTCTTCAGCTTGGACCATATAGTATTCTTCTATCTCTTTCGACTGCCATGAGATGAAAACAACTACTATTCCATTAGGGAAAACTCAAGCAAGGGAGAGTTATAAAAGGATCAGAGTCAGCTCAATATGTAATTCAGTTAAATGATAAATTTGAGTAATTTGAAAATTCATAGAATATACTTAATTCATGGGAACTCGATTCACACGTAGTGTACCTAATTTATGTTTGATTATTTTGAAAATGTGTATCAGATTCATTGATTAATCTAGTGTGAATTTGAATCTACTAATATGTTTTTAAACCCTTGCGTCAACCAAGTGTAGAAGACCACTAGATTGTCGACCTTTTTTAATTGACCAATACATTGGTCGACCTATTTTTAGAGCCCGTTTGGTGACCCTTTTTTCGGGTTATCAGGCTTATGAACTAACTTTTTCATCAAACACGTAATTTTTCATTTCGCGCGGTGAAGTTTGTAAAATTTCCGAAAAAGTAAGGTTGAAGTTACTTTTCTGGTTGTTCTGGTGAAGTTACTGTAGAAGATCATTTTAGCTATTTTTTCATATAATTTTTTGTTTAATTTATCAATAACAAATATTTTAAATATAATTTTTTCATAAATCAGCAGAATCAGCCACTACAGTCACTTCAGCCAGAACTTCATAAATTTCAGCACAATCAGCCAATTCAGCCAATTTTAATGTTACCAAACGGGCTCTTAGTTGATGAGTTGTTTGTTTATTTTTAAATTGTGTAGTTTCCTTCCTTGTTTTCATTGGCTGACAACTCACTTTCTCCACCAATGAAACTCACAATAAGAAACACATTGGCTACTTTTCAAGAAGAGATGATACAATGACTTGGTGAATTTCTAGAGCTTCTACTCTAATTTTGAAGGTGTGTTTTTGACAGATATCTGAATATTAATTTTGTCCTTGTTCCATCATTATTGTGCCCACTCTTGTCTAGAATAGCCCAAATTGAAAGGGAATTCGGATGCATGGTTTATGAAGCCAAATGAGTTCCAGTACGCTAGCTACTCTATCATTCATACGATTGAGATGAAAAGACTTAATTGTCATTAACTAAAAAATCTGGAACTTACAAAGAATCCCAATATCTTGAAGAACAAGGCTGAAAAGCTCTCTAATATTCGTAATAGGGTTTATCTCTCTAAGCTCCGTAACGTCAAACACGCGAATATTGATCCGTACGGTCGTCCGCACGGTGTGCGGTTCACCGTGCGGGTGCGCGAAATTAAATTCCCGTCTCCGTATTTACTCCGCCCGTACGGCGTGCGGTTGGCCGCACGGTCCGATCGTGCGGGTACTTCGGAGGCTCGTTTCTGAACCGCAAGGCGTGTGGTTCATCCGTGGGTCGTGCGGTTCAGACTTTTTGACATCCTGCTTTCGAATCATTGGTGTTTAGGTATTATTTCCTTTGTAATTTCATATGCTATTACATTAAATTATTGTATTGTGATTAATATGAGCATTTGTAGCTAATTTCAAAGCTAAAGCTAGAGATGAACTTCTATGCCCACTAGGTGTTTGATAAAAGTTCTAAACCAATAAATTGTGATTTATCCTTTATATATTGATTGTTTATGACTATAGTGTACAACATAGAAGTATGTTAAATTTAGTCTATACTTGCAATTAACGTTGAAGTCTAAATTATAAACATTAAAATATAAACATATATAGTACCGAGAATATAAATATATCCAGTCTGATATGATATAGGTGTGATGTCTAGATATTCCACGGGGTTTTCGGTGGATGAATGTAAGTCGTAATGGGACTTACATGTAACAAAAATCACGCTCTCGCTGCCTTAACCGGAGTTGAGAATATATTAGCGACATCGTATTCATAATTATTGGTAAAGAACTAATATTCAACCCTATTAAAGCATTTAAGTGATTCCCGAAGCCTTAGTTAGTTGTTGTTATCATTCATTTTAAACTGAAAATTAGTTAACGATTATCTTCTTAAACAAAAAGTGAAAATCCAAAATTATAACACACAAATAAAAATCCCTACACTTTACTGTCATGCCCCGAACCTGCCAGACACGTCAACAACCCGCTGTACAGTACGAATAGTCAACCGTAGTCCAACTCATCCATATTATACAAGGGGTCTGGAATATCATTCACACGTAGTACATCCATAAACAAACATAATGTAAAATATTCATTTAAAGCAGCGGAAACATTAATATAAGTGTTCAAGCCACACTTGGCATCATTAGGCATACAAGCCCCCAAATAATTATTCAGAAAATAATATCCATGAGCATTACTATAATTGTTTTTGAAACAGAAACGGAGGAAGCACGAACCACGTCTTCTCTTCTAGATTTTCCCGAAGCAACGGGCACTGGTAGCAAACTCAACTTCTACCTGAAACTGTGAGGTGGCCTCCCCCGTGAAGGGGAGGTCAGTACTTGGAAGTATTTGACAAGTACAATGACAACTATACTAAGTATAATCAATGTTTCAATTTCTTAAGATCCTCAATATAGGGTGATACTAGTTTTATATGCCATAACCCCCGGTTACCCTCTTTTAAAAATATACTTACTTTATATATAAAGTTAAGTGGTCGGCCCATGGCCCATATTCGTTTTGAAACGTCCACCCCTATTTCTCCGTAACTATTTGTCACGATTGTCACAACCTTTGGTAAGTTATATTACCGTCATGGGGCATTTCTTAATTACATTATTTAGCCATCATGGAGCCTCGCTCAATCCTATTATTATACCGTGCTAGAGCCTCGCTCTTAGTCAATCTATGTCGTACTAGAGCCCCGCTTTTAGTCATTCTACGTCGTGCTAGAGCCTCGCTCTTAGTCATTCTACATTGTACTAGAGCCTCGCTCTTAGTCGATCTACATTAGGCTAGAGCCTCGCTCTTAGTCAATCTACATTTGTGCTAGAGCCTCGCTCTTAGTCGAACTACGTTATGCTAGAGCCTCGCTCTTAGTCGAACTACATTTGGCTAGAACCTTGCTCTTAGTCAATCTACATTTGTGCTAGAGCCTCGCTCTTAGTCAATCTACATTTGTGCTAGAGCTTCGCTCTTAGACGAACTACATTTGGCTAGAGCCTCGCTCTTAGTCAATCGACATTTGTGCTAGAGCCTCGCTCTTAGTCAAGTTATTTGATTCCTAAGCCAATTCCATGCCTAGAATCAATTTACCTTGAGTAGCCTCTAAGGCCTACTCCTAATATACTTAGAGCTTATACAATCCGACCTTAAGGTATCTCTGTAGACTACCTAGGGTATGACCTCTCACAATCCGATTAATTCTATCATTTTTCATATACTAACCTTCCAACTAGTATTCGAATACTAGTCAACTAATCTTGGAACAACCAAGTTCCTAATTCATAGTGATATTGTTCATCTCACTTGATTTTCCCATCCAAATACAATTTAATCTCAATATCAAAAATATCACTTTTATCTATTCATGAATTCTATACATGAAGTAAAAGTATATTTTATCATAATATTTCCATAGTTAATTCCATTATCATGCCAACACTTTCATATCACATAATCATACACAATTCCTTCCAAATTTGTATATCATGCTTCATTTACTCATAAACAATAGTATTTTCATTTAGGCATTATTAATCATTAATAATCCATGAAAATCACATTTTATTACTTTAGGTAATCTTATGAAATTAACTCACTAATTATAAGCAATATAGTCAGTCATCCTCACCTCAAATATGTCCAGCAAGCCTTCCTATTGAAGCCCCATCATTAAACCTTCAATTGGGGATGATCCGAGATGGACTTGCAGAGGGCAAAAGCCGCATGGCTTTTGCAAAAGCTGCCCGGCTTTCGGGCCCTGCAGCACGAAAACAGCTCCTATCAATGACGGTTTCCGGCGATTTCGATTCCTATCGATTCCACAACTCTTCTAAGTTAAATACCAACACTTTATATCATTTTTCTAAACCTTTAAACGTGTAGAACATCCCCTAGAATCCATCATATGATTTCTATAAAATCATATACGAAAAATATATATTAAACGGAAGAACAAGAACCGGAGCTACGAGGTTCTTACCGCTAGACTTTGTTTTCTCTCGGATTGCTCCTCTTCTTGGCCTTCTTCCTTCTTGACTTCTTGCTGTGAGTGTGGAGCTCTTCAAGCCTCCTTTCCTTCTTTCTTAGCTCTCATAAGTATGGATAAAAATGAGAGGAGAGGATAAGGCTCCCTCATTTATCCTTACTATTTTTTGAAAGGTTGGGCCAATTTAGTGCGATTGGGTTCGTGGGCTGTC